CTCCCTCTGGTTTCAAAAGGATAAACAATGAAGTAAGTAAATACTAGTGCATTATTGTAATGTTTGTTTAAACATATTTACATGTATGCTCGATTGAGTCAGCACTGGGTCACAGGCAAGGTAGTTACATAAGTCTTTTCTTATTTTTACACTCACTTGTGTCAATGTTTAAGTTTTAATATTTAAAATGATCTGTGTCTTTATCTTGGAATGTGTTCTTTCAGACTGCATGTTGGAAATATTTAACACCTAAACAATGTAAAAATAAATGAAAATTGAATTCAAGCTTTTTTCTTAAAACATATTTACTGATAGAAATTATAAACTCCAATATTTTTGTAACTTGTTTGGCATTAATAGAATTTTATTAGATTTTGAACTTGCTCTGTTAATATAAATGCTTATAAAAAATCAAGTCATTTGAGGTTAACTTTTTATAGCAGTTTTTAGGCCTATTGATTTCCAGTAGTTTGCCAGCTGTCATGGTCAAACCATAACTTAAATGCTTCATTACTAGAGAATTGATAGATATTTAGGTTGTGGCTAAAATACAATTTTAGTATTTAATTACCAGGCATTTTTCTAGGCCTAATTTTGTTTTAGCAGGTTACAGGATCTTAAGTACTATTTTTCATTTGAATTATATTTTCTAGAGTGCCATTCTCAGTTAATGATAACAGTCAATTCTTAAAGTTAGAATATGATTCTACTCAAAGCATTTAATAAAAATGAGCATAAAATTGCAGAATTTTTATATTTCAACATTTAAGAGAGTAACACAACCAGAGTTAGGTTTAAGAATACAGTGATGAAAAAGCTTGTAAATGATTCTGCAAAGTATTCCTTTCACATTTAGTATGCTTAATCATTAAATTTGTTCATTAGGAAAAAAAAAATGCGTAGACAATCTGTAGAAAAAATTAAGTAAATTGATATTTTTGTGTTAATAAAGGTATTAAAAGTTTTCATATTAAATACAGGAGCATAATAATAAGGAAACAGAGATAATAGAGATAATGAAACTTGTATTAAACTGTACAAAACTGTTACAGAATAGGTAGAATATGTAACATTATATTTAGATAAGGGAAACAATTACTTATAATGTCAATCAATCATCATCTTCCCACTCTCCACTTGAATCTTAGATAAATCAGAAATCTGACTATTAGTCATGCAAGTTGAAATGTAAATTATTTTGATTAGTCATTAGATTTACACCATGCATGTATTTATAATGGTTTCACAGAATCTTGTCTCAGCTGTAACTTTGAAACAGTGATGGGCAACAATTAAATTTGTTACTGCAATATTATCACATAATTTTTGTACTTATCAGAATAATGTAGATTCTCAGTTTCAAAAGAAATGAGAGGATTTGGTAACCTGTTTGTAATTTTCCATATCTAAAGTTGCTGATTTTGAACGTCTATTAAAAACAAAAAAATCAAAGATATAAGTGCATATAGAAGTTTGTATTTCAGTTACTTAACAGTTATGACTAGATAACATCGTACCTGTACATCTTGACCCAAATTTTGAAGTGACCTTAGAAACCAGTTCATATATATTTCCTATAAGCACAGTATAATATCAGATGTCTGCTTTTCACATTGCAAGTAGTATGGACCTCAGGTGTAGGAGTTGAAAGGGTTGTTGAAATGTTAAAGGGTTCTTGTTCTTTTAACTCTACTTTATCACTGTTATATCATGTTACTTTATTGCCAGGTACCCTATTATGGCTGTTTTTTAGATGTATGGCATAATTCACACCACTCTAAGCACAACATAAGTGAATCAAAGTAGGCTCAGTTTTAGTGTAACTAGTTTATTGGTGAGTCAGGAAGTGTGCTATTTATAAATGCTTCTTTGATGACCATAGGCCATCCATACAAGTATCGGTTGTAGTCAGCATTCTGCCACTCGAACTGAGCCACCACCAGGTAAAAGCATTAATTCTATGAAAGCAGTGTTTTAAAAGGCAATAAATTTCAAACATGAAAAAAAATGGATTCCATGTCACTAATTTATATGTAGGAGTATCATAATAAAAAATACTTTCTGATTGAGAACAGATCATGGCATGTCCTAGTTTTTATTGCATTTTAATCCTGTCACTATTAGGATATTGCTATACAGTAATTATTATTAAGAATTTAGAAAATTCAACATATTTTTCAAGATAAAATAAATGTAAAAACAAGCAGTATCATCTTTATACTAATGAATTATTGATTGTATAATGTTAATCCAAATTTATACTTCATATATTTTTGTGGGAATGAGTAGGAATACATCTGTATAAATAAGTACAGCTCCCCTATCATCACTACTTTCCTCATTCAAATCCCAGTTGCGTACAAATCTTGTCATGATTCAGATGCCAGCAAAATGCCATGCAAGTAATATGGTTCTTCTCCACAGCTTTCTTGACTTATAATTATAATCTAAGGTTGAAACATTCCCATACAATTATTATGTTAAAAATAAGCTGTCAACTCTACCTTTGTTTTCCCCATTATCAAAGGCACGACACATGCTGATTAACTACCATATGTTCTATCAGCTGATTCACTGAGAGCAAGAACATGTAACTAAATCAACAGGTGTTTTTATGATGGCAAGTCATCCATACATTATTGGATCATGTTACACAAGACAACATACTTGCTTGGATAATTCTAAGTATTAGATCTATAGATAAAACACATGGGAGACAATTAATTAAAAAATAGATTTAACCAAAAAATACCTGCATCTCTTGCTTTTTTTTTTAACAGTGCTCGTTTTCCCTAACATTTTCTTGCATGCTGCTTATTTCTGTGACATTTTTTCATGTACTAATTAATATTAACTTCCAACCAGAGCAAACTACATACTTAGAACAAAACTAAAATTCAACCTGGAAATTGGTATGGCTAATTAAATATACTTACGTTTATACTTATAAAGATAGTCTAGTTCATTTATAAACATATTTTCCATAAATAACATCTTTATAGCTCGAGAGTGTATGTATATGGCAACAAATTATTTATAAGCATCTCCTTCACTATCTTCCAGCTGTTAATGAACAGACTGACCACAAGGTTATCTTCTAGGAAGATTAACTTTATTTAGTACAGCTTTTGTAAAATTAAAATGTAATAAATATAAATTTGCTTGTGCTCATTGCTCACACAGTGTGGATTAACTTTGGTTAAAAGTTTAGTTTGCTTTTGAAATTACAGGGTTAAATTTTCTTTCGTACAGGACATTTAATTTTATAATGCAGAACTATTTTTTAACTACCTTTCTTTACTATTTATTCCTATAAGATGTGTCTCTGTGAAGTGTGATTTTTTTAAAAACTGATTAATGAATATAATCTTTAAAAAACAAATCATAAAATAAGTACATTTTCTGACCCTACATTTTGAGTGGCATTTTATTGGATCATGAAATTACACTTTTTTGCATTTTTCTGAAGGTACTTGAGATGAATTGGAACATTCCATAATTGCAACAAGCTATGTGATAGACATGCTAATGAGTAGACATGATTGGTAAAATTATTGATAAATTTTTGTACTGTATCCAAAAATGATGATTACAATAATTAATTTTAGATCAATAAACTGTAATTTTATCTTTTTTGTTTTTTTTAAGATAATGACTATCGTAAATACTGATGCAGTATATTGTTCATCACTATAGTACATTGAATTGAGTCACATAGCTTAAACTATGCCATATTTGTCATTAAACATGCTAGACCCCAAAGAAAACAGTTGAATATTTCATTTTTGGAGAATCTTGGGGCAAATATGATCTGGCCAATCAGAACATGCTGTTGAAAATTGGCCACTGGTGTCTTAAAGTGTCATTGACAGAACATGTGATCACTTTTAAACCAATGGTATATGTACATAGACAGCTAGACAAGGCAGACCATCAACCACAACAGAAGCAGACAAATACTACCCCTTGGTGTGGGCAGGAATAAGCATTGATGGACATAATTACCTTTGGATTCTATGGAATGGCACCTTTAATGTTAATGCTATACAAATTATAGGGAACACATCCTACACTCACTTTGTGTTGTTATATGATGTTCTAATTGGTCCTGACTTCAGCCAAATACATATTCCTTGAGTGGCGTCCTGATTAAGTGGCTTCACGGCTTCACTCTACACACTAAAGCTACCTTGGATAACACTCTTTCAGAGGATAAGCTGAATATACCTCGGGACATTATCAACACTGATTTTAAGACTGTACTATTGATGGCAGACTGCCTTTAATTTAATGAATTTGTGGTGACTATTCTTTATACTAAAATAAAATGTCACAAATTTCAAAGGCTTAGGAACATAAACTAATTGACCAATTATTTACATTTCAGATCACGTGATTGATCATCATCAGACTGATTTACATGCAAGTTAACTGAAGGGATGATTCTTATTTAAAGAAACACATTAAGCTGATATAGTAGGAAATTAAGAAACAATGATTTATAAAGACAATTACATTTACTGTAGAAAATATACTTCATGTTTTGTCTATACCTTGGTTTGTTTTCCTCAGCTAGGGCAAAAAACTAAGCATACAAGGTTTATATGCAAAGCCAATGTTGTGTGAGAATACAATTTATAAATCTTAAAGGGGATGATTGACCTTTCTTTATGACAGTAAGATTTTTTTTTTAGTCTTGCCATAACCACAATTTTATAAATTTCAATTATTATTTAATTTTCTGGTTGATTCAATTAAGAGGTTAACCATTTAAACATGTTATTCAAAGCACATAAAACAGTTTCGTATAAATTCATGGTGTTATTATTAATGCCAAAGTCAATCATTGATATTGAATGTCCCTTAAACCAAAGTAAGTTGACCCAAAATCAACTATAATAGGTTAACAAAAATAGCTGTTGCTTAGTTTGCATATCGATATGTATATATAATTTGAATAGTTGTATAATGTATATGATTTCTGTCCATGTGTTGAATAGGAAGAACAGTCTAAAGGAAAACCCAACTATGAACACCTTACTGAAGATCTACATGTTTTAATCCAAGTAGAGGACACTCGAAATCGAGCCACTCTAAAAATAGAACATGCTAAGAATGAAGTAAAGAAACTTCTAATTCCAGTGGTTAGTTTTTGATTTTTCTCTGCAGTTTTGGCTTTTGAAGTACATAATTATGCATAAACCAAAGCATACTAAATCTTTCATAATAATAATAAAAAAAGTGGATTTTTTGAGTTTATTTATTATTAACATTAAAGAAAAATTTGTGTTTGGTTATTATTAGAAATTTTCCAATCCTACTTTGATTAATATTAAGAATAGTTTTTAACGAATAATTCATTATAAAATTGTTATTTTACAAATGTTTAAGTGATTAGTTATACTTTAATGGTTTGCTATTCGATTTACATGACTTGATTATGTGTGTAATATATCTAACTAAGAGCTTTGTTTTAGTTCAAGTTCAGTTTAATTATAGGAGGAGATAACAATATGAAAATAATTTGAAGATTGTAATTGCTTTAGTTTTAACATTTCCCTGATTGTTAATGTTTAAATCAAATATTTAGACTGAAGGAGAAGATGAATTAAAGAAAAGGCAGCTTATGGAGCTAGCTATCATCAGAGGCACTTACAGAGAGAGTGGGACAAAAGTTACTAGTAAAGTTCATTCATTTTATTATTTAACCACATTAATTACATTAATTTTATAAGTGTTTTATAACCTCTCTTTAGTTTGTTTAAATGAACTGAACTTCATAACAGTGCTTATATCAGTTTTAGGTATTTTATGTCAGACTTTAAAATTGAAAATACATATCTTGTGAAATATTAAAATAAAACATTACTTCAAACATGTGAACCATTGTTACCGTGTGTACTGTTTTGGCTTGTTTCCCCCCTTGAAAGAAGTTTTTGTACACTTTTCAAGTGCAAGTTATTATGTGTTAAAATGAGATGACTAGTAATTTTATCTAGGAAAGTTTTTTTTTGCGATGTGAAATAAAGATTATTAACAGTTGTAAATACATGTAAATACTATTTCTTGCACATAGTATAGCCAAGTGAATAAACTTTGACTACAATAAAATGAGTATTATTTCTTGGCACTTGTGTATAATGTTACAATAAAATGCATAAGTTTAAGGTCTTTTGTTAGGCTTTCATCATTAGAAAAAAATAAGGAACACGTACATCAAAAATGTTCATCTCAGCATACCTAGAACTGGATATCCACAATTTTCATAATCCAGTGCTATGGATTATAAATGAAACATATTATGTGTACAAATCTTAATGGCCATCACTTAGACATTCAGTTACCACCTTAGAGCATCATATACCCAGTGTAAAGGCCATATAAAGTCATATTGTAGCAGTAGTAGATACAGATATGCGTTATGAAAGTTGTAGCACCCAGAATTGAAATACACTAAATAACACCTTCAGATGATGGAAATTTTAGAAGAGGAAGAATATTCAATGAGAAAGGTTGCAATCTAACTTCATGTTTCTGCTAGTACTGTATGAAAGACATGCAGTAGAGTACAGGAACTGTGCACGTATTCGAAATGACCTGATATTGATGGGAAATCCAACCTTACTGACACTGATATCAAATACCTACCAATGGGTTCACTTCCCACCATCATAAGGTTTACCAGTAAAAAAAAGAAACTTGTCGGGGATCTGGATGAGATAACAAGTACGCAATGACAACTAGAACTGTATAAGAAGCTGGTTGGTGTGGCCTCAAAGTATATATTGTTGTTGGAAAAACACTTGTAGAGAATAAGCAATCTGAGACAAAAATGAGCATCAGGCATGAGAAAGAGTATGGAACATTCAATTATCTGTTGTGGGTGGCCAATGCAAACCTGTTATCAATGGTATTTAAGTTCTCTGGGGATACATGGAAGCTATAACGGTTAAAATCATGCAGCAATATTCCTCAGTTACATTTAGATAAACTGTATAGGAATACTATCACTCATTGCTAACTATTAGTCCAGACCAAGTGATTTTACATCAAATACTGTTACTGTAACATGAAGTAAATATATTTGGTAGTGTGGAAGCACCTATATTACACTATGTTAAGTTAGGCTGCTGTAGACTATGAGTAAAGAATACTATTTGTATTGCCAGTTTTTTCATATTTCTTCCAAGCATTGCACATGCTTCATGTTTAATTCTTGTAACTAATGTTTTAAGCTTTTACAAAAAGTGATTTTTGTAAACAATAATGACTTCTAATTAATTCCAGAGTTTTGACATATCACATTATACATTAACGTATTAAAATATGTGAAATTGCATATATATGTACAGTACTAAGAAATCCTTATTACCTTACTTAAGACATTTTCAAGAATTTGGGATCTGGTCATTTATGGAAACCTGTCATCATAGTTTTATAAAATAGTTGGAACTTGCCAAGTTATTGATGAGATCTGAAAAAATGTAGACAGAATTTTAAGAATTAAAAGTTTTTTTATCTGTTAACTTTCATGAGAAAATTCTCATCAAAATATTGGAATGATATGAATTGTAATATAAACATGTTAAATGATTTAATAATACATTAAAACTTTAATAGGAACATATGAATATCTGTAGTTAAATGAGGAAAATATACATGTACATGTAAATTTAATTGATCAGTATATACGTTTGTCTATCACATGGTGATATAAGAGTGAACAGAAGACAAAACCAGATTATAAAACAGTTTTTTTAGTTGTACTTAGATGTAATTTAAACATACCAAGGAAGGTTGATTGTGTTTCAGAAATTAAAAGTTTGGAGTGCACGTAGTACAAATGACATGGTATGTTTAATCAGCTTTGTGGAAAATATTTTAAGTGCTGTAAAATTTAAAGTACAAGGAAGCAAGCAGCATTATAGATTGTTTTGTTTCAGTTTAATAACTTGTGTATTTATAATGTTCCATCATTAAAAATTGTACTGTTTAAAAAAAAATTTTTTTTTACATGTTAAAGTGTGAAAGCTAAAAATCATTATTACTTGTGTTTTGCCTATAGTGACAGTGTGTAACATAGCAAAATCATTATTACTTGTGTTTTTGCCTATAGTGACAGTGTGTAACATAGCAAAATCACTATAGCCTTTGTATATACTTACAAAATATAATTTTGTTCATCTTAAAATAAATAAATAGGTTGAATACATTATTTTAAACTATTTTAGAGCCTTTATGTCATTGCAGTCCATGTTGCCATGTCCAACTGTGCTCTATCTGATGTATCTTGCAGTATGATTTCCATTGCATAAGGCTGTTATGTCTAAACCCCACCACTTCTCCCTCCTTCATTCTATTATCCATTTAGTATACAATTATGACTGTTTCCCAGCACACATCAACAGTTCATTGGTACAGAAATCCATAGGCACTGCATTCAGTGTCTTGACTGATATGTTTGTATGAAATAGCATGAATACCCATTTCATTCACATTTTCAATCTGCTTGAAGTATGTGATGATTAATGGGAGGTTTAACTAGAAGCCTTCTTTATGTAAACTCGTGCCTTATTTGCCTTGTTTACAGATAAGAGTTCTTTCTTGATTAGGTTGTGTACTGTTGTGTGGGACACATGTATGGCTTTTGCCAATGATCTTTGTGTTTATAGATTCTCCCCTTTAGCAATGTGCCACACTATGCTTAACACCACTAGGGGTATTTGTTGCAGGTTTCTACAAAAATTGTTCTGGTGCCCCAAGTTGGTCTATATTACTTTCCAATTCCATTAAGTACAAGGAATATCTCCATTTTGGAAATTTCAAGTCTTCAGTTTGAACACATCTTTATGATTTGGATGTATGAATATCTTGCATTAGAAAGGGCTGATTCATACTCTTCCAAAGAGCAACCAGTTTTTGGTGGCATCACACTACATATGATCAATGTCAAAATGTATGTCTGATACATGCCATTCCACGGCAACTGTCTCAACTGATCTTGTCATGTGACTTGCTGATTTGCACCCCCAGTGGCCCAGTGGTAAGTCTGAAAACATGACAATATAAAATGGTTTTCAACACCTGTTGTGGGCAGAGTACAGATAGCCCATTGTGTAGCTTTTTACTTAGCTTCAAATGAATAATAATGATGATTTATATATTCAAAATCATTATAACCTTGTGTACTCAATCCTCTGTATACCCTTTTGCTGTTTTACTCAAAATTCTAAGAATTACCCATTTTATGAAAATGCTTATCTTGGAAACAGTTATACTTCAACATTAAAAAAAAAAGAAATGTGTGAGTGGATTTATTTAAGATTCTCAGATTTAAGTTATATGTGTGAAGTTAAAGTGCAAATTGAATTGTATGTACTTGCATTAGTCTGAAACTGAGTTAAATGTAAGTTTAATATGCAGAAAATATATAATAATAGGATGTATTTGATTATTGAAATTGTTTTCTTTTTATAAAAGTAATGCTATACCACAGTCACAGTTCTAAGTATATTGTGTTTAATCAGTTTTGCATTAAAAAATATTTACAGACTAAAATTTGTTATCTTTCTGGCTGATGCTTGTTACCAGCTGACAAGTTATAAACATAGGATTTAAGGAACACTTGAGATCTGACATAAACTTTAATCAGTACATTTGTGTCTTTTTTTTTTTATTTATACAAAAGACAAGTTCTGTCAAATTTTATATTGTAAAAGGTCACTTTTGTGTTTCAAAGTCTTCTAAAATGTAGTTAGTGTTATTTTATTGCATTTTTATTTCATATAACCTCCTAGAATAGTAGAAACTAACTTTTTGTATTACTGTATGCTTGTCCAAAACTAAATAATTAAGTGGAATATTGTGTAGTAGATATGTAATACTGACTGTAATGTTTAAAAAAAAAAAGATTGCACTTGTTATGTTTCTTTTAATAGCTCAATGGATTTATTCATTTCAGAGTCAGAAATTCCTCAGTTAATGGCTCCACCAATAACACTGGGAGCCCCTCTTCGCATACCTAACCCAATCGGAGCACCTTTAATCCTTTCTCCTCGACATCCAGTGCCAACATCTAATTCTTTGGTGAATGGAAGTGTTCCTACTCAACTTATCAACCCTGCAGGTGGAGGCCTCATCTACTCTCCTTACACAGATTACCAGTATGCTGCACTTACATCACCCTTCTTAGCTCAGTATCCAGGGCTTGACCATTCTGCTGCTGGTGGGTTGTTGGATTGACAAGAGTTGTATTTTATTGCAGTCATTTCCTTCAGTTGAATATATTATAATATTCTTACTTATGTTGAAACTTTAAATGGACAGTGTTTTTGTCAAGACTATTTTACTACCTTTAGTAGCAAATTATATTTTTTTTATTGCCAAGTTTAATTTTTATTGTTTTTCAGAAAATAAGTTATTTTCTTGTTTTCAGAAGCACTATTGAGCTTTTCTCTCCTACTTTTTTCTTGGGGGGGGATAATATATTTTTAAATTTATATTTTTTTTAACAAGTTTCCTGATTCTAGAGAAAATTGTATATATTTTGCTGTTGTTTTATTACTAGTTAATTTTGTTCATATATTTATGTTGATATATACATATATTAAGTAGTTTAAATAATATATAATATTATTTAGACATTTATCAGATTAATTTTTGGTTTCTGAGATAGAAATAACTGATTGAGTTATGTATAAAAAGTATTTGTTGGTATGTTGAACAAGTTGGGTAACTAAGATGTATATTTCTAGATTTAAACATTGAAAAATTTTAAGAGAAAAAAAGATACAATACTGTGGAAAACCTAACACAGTAAGATTCATTTGGCAATCATAGCTCAATTGTCTTAAGTTGGGTTACATACCATTTGTAATTTATGGTAGAAAAAAAAAGCAAAGCAAAAGTAAATTCCAGTTTATTGTTTTCATGTAAAATTCAACATTATACTTTGTTTTAAGCATGCATTCTCAGGAATCAGAAAAATTAGAATTTAGCAGTCAGTTATTATTATCTTACTAGTCTTAGATGCATGTTTTCAATTCTTTGTTGCCTGTTATAGCAACTGTATTGCAGGGATTAGGAATGTTGACCATGCATAATTATCAAGGAAGTCAAGGCACATTGGGTAAGCATAAGTATACTATGTAAAAACATGCTAAGTATTTGTAAAGGAGCAACATTCTCAAACTTTAGACTTACCACAAACAGTCATTAGTTTCTAGGTTTTTCCAGCATAGTTGCTTGCTTACACAATCAGTATGATGAGTGTTTTTTAGTTAATTTTCTCAGCTTTGCTTTACTGCAGGGAATTAGTATGACATAGTAAGAGGAATGATAAATAAGTGAATAATCCAGACACATAAACTGTAAAACATGCTGGAAAACTGAATGGTAGTTCTCATTAACTTTGCCTTTTCTTAATTTCACTTTTGATAAATAATATTCCAGAGGAGTAAATCTTAAATTTCTGTCATCAGTAATTTATATCGTTTTCATAACTGTTTATGAAAGAATTAGTCCTAGATGAAATGTTCACTGAGGTATAGGCTTTTCTTTAGCTACTATTTGAATATCTGGTGTTCTGTGTGTTAATTATGTTTGAAGGTGTCTAGTGGGGGTCATGGAGATAATATTTATTTTAACATTAAGTAGATCTACAAGTATGCTCATAGCAGGACTCTCCACAGCCCATCTTAACATATCAGTACTGATACACTTTCATTTTTTTCTGGTATGCTTTCATGTGCACTGATACTCTAAAATATATACCAGACAATATTCTTTTGACAAGTAACTGCATCCCTAATAAGATATTTCTTATGTATCAAGCACAAGCAAGTATTATTGTTTTCCTGCATACCACAAATAATTACAACGTTTGGATGCATCTATAATACAAGAAATATGCAAATTTGACATGGTGTGCACTCTGGTTCCTGTTGCTGTAATTTTTAGGTCTGAACCATTGCAATTAATTTGTGTAACTCTCCATACAAGTATCAATTTCTGTGCTTGTTACAAGGTTTTACTGAATTAAATTCAAAATTTAATGAAACTACTTTATTATCATGGTATACGTATAAACTTCACATCAAAACTTAGCTAATAATCCACATTTTAATAATATATAAGTTTTAAGATCCTAATTTTATAGGGCATTATTAAAAAGAAAATCATCAATTCCCCCTAGTATGAGAATTGTGACATTTGCTCTCTAGGTCTTCTTTCATCTTCTCTAATCTATTTTCCACCTCTCTGAGAAGTACGAAATTTAACATAAATCACTCATTATAATGTTGTTATTAGTCAAGTAAAGCAGATTTTTGAATAGCCTTCAATCCTGTTTGGTTACAGAGGCATAAATTAGAAATTCAGACCCCCTCTTTCCATGCCCACCTGTCACATCCTTTCTTACAGAAATAGCCAGTAGTTCTCTCTGATGGTTAATACTACATTATTTATAACAAATATAAAGCCAAAGTTCCAAAACATACATACCTCCGCTGACTAATAGCTATTTCTCAATATTCATTTTTGCCATCTAATGTTGTGTTCACTTGCTCTAGTCTCTATATACCCCACTCGGCTGCCCTCAGCAATATCTAATTTGCAAAACTTTACACCGGCCCTTATGCGCCCTGTATGCAGGTACTGTATATAAGAATTGTGTGCAGACAATAAAATCACTTTTTCTCGACAAAACGCGAGCATCCAGACTAACGTTTTATGATTTACATTTTCTTAGTTTTCACTTTCTAATAATCAGGAATTCTTTGTTTTCTTATCCAAAGATATATTTCATTGAACTTGTATTTTGTTTTTTGCATGGAAGCTGTCAGTGACCTGATTCAGGGTGATATGGAGTCCTTCATGTGGCCTGGGGTTATCTCTGGGAAGTGCTGATTTGAATTTTCATTCTGAAACAGGATATTCTGGGTAGAATTTAGACTCCCTGTTTTCTGCTTCTTCTTTCACCAGAGCTTCTTCTCCTGATGACTCATCTAATCAGCCACCTTCTGCCTAATTGGGACTTTCGGGTTGTCTTACATGCTTTATCACATTACCCCTTTGAACCCATGGCCTCCTGTTCATTATATCACCTTTCTCTCACAGTTTATTTTTTATTGCTGTTAGCTTCCAGATGCTGTCATTTGGATTTATTTGCTATACATGTTCAGTGGACTTTCCATCATTCTATCTATGTTTTGCTCTATCCCAACTGATCATTTATTCCAAAAAACTCTCGCTGCTACAGAATGTAACCAGTCTTTTTCTGCTATTCATTTACCTGGAATTTCTCATCTTTACAGTAGATCAAACCCGGATCGTTTGTTATGTCCCATCAGGGAGCTCAGATGTTAGGTGCCTCGTATGGAACAGTTTCGAGGCCCTAAGAACAGACTTTTTATTTATTGGGATCCTGCAGTGTCCAGGGATTTATCACCTGTTACTTTAACCAGATGGCTTCGGAACTTGATCCATATTGCCTATTTGGGCTTATCTGTTAATGATCGCAATATACTCCATGTCACCTCTTACCAGATTCGACACCTATCAATGTCTTTGGTTGCCTGGTTGAACTGTTCTCTAGAAGATATTTTGCAGACCGGAATGTGGACTTCTCCCAACATGTTCATATTTCATTACCTTCACGATCTGGCAGTTTCCTCTTCGATGGGATTTCGCCTTCCCCCTGTGGCTGTGTTGACTACCTCTACTAGATTTTAATGGGAATGTGAATAATGTTTTATCTGACTTACAGTTATTGTTCTTTTCTTTTCTAGGGTCCCTATTGATTTCTTTTGGATCCCACTCAGTGGCGGGTGTTGCCTAGTTGGGGGTGCTTGTATTTAAATTCTGCACTAGCAACCTTTATATCGGTTCCTGGTTGCAATGGGCTCTGTCAAGATGAGGTGTTCCGTAAGACCATCTGGATGCAATTCTGGATGGTGATATTTTGTTACAATATTTCTAATAAACCGTTACTCATGGATTATCATGAGTAAATCTAAAAGGTGATTTTGCCAATCCCTGCTGATCTTATAGCTGAATCAATTGAGATCAGTTTGCTTTTAAAAAATAGGGAATGTGGTTCAATCTCCGGAGATCTGTTCCTCAATACTCCCCAATGCTTTTGTCCCCCCCCCCTTCTTCTACTAGGAAGTCCTTACCACACCAAGTTCCCAGTCACTGGGGTGGTGAACAGAGGATTTTCCTTCAGAGTGTTGAGTTTTCTCCACTCTTGGAGGGCAAAGTTGGCAACCCTCCTACATGAGTCCCTGGAAGTTTTTTCCCAGATGTTGGTAGGAGCAGGACCAACCTACATGGGAGTCTACTCGTAAAACTAGACTAGATTTGACTCTTAGCTATCTGGTGGGTAGGTGCGTGGACCCTCTTAGGAACATTGTCAGGTCTTATGTTGGTCATGCAGGGGTCCACTATCTCCTTGTAAATCCAAAATGTGATGCTGTCCCATCTTTGGCCCTTGGAGGGACAGTGTTCCACATCCTCTCCATAATTCCATGGGTAAGCAGAATTCTCCTTGTCCATTTGGTGGGGGAGTAAAGACAACTGTTTGTAAATCCAGACTGGATGAGTTCTGGACTTTGATGGAGTATGGCATATGATCCCGTCAATCCATACCTGGGATGTTGCCTTTTAGACTTCTTCAGGTTGATCAAAAGGATTGTCCACTTTGGTGTTGTTTTCTTTCTGTCGTAAATCTGGTGGTTCAAAATGCATCATTCTGTGGTTACTGGTAAGGATCCTATCACATATATATATATATCTGTGGTCCAACTGCCCTGGCCACCAATGTGGGATATGGGTACCTTGACCTCTTAAATCCAACCCGAGTTGTGGAACCTCGGCTGTTTGGTCAGGGCTGGACCATCATACTTGTATTATTTTCACCCTTTTCAATTTTCTGTAGTTCTTGGTGAAGAGCATAACTGTTCTGGATGTAGTGCAATGTTCTCCACTTTGATACTACTATTTGTGGTACTTATTTATTCTCTGCAGATGATTTCTGTATGATCTCTGTCCTCACTGGTCCCTCCACTTTCTCAATGTGGGGTTCTAGCTATTAGTGTCAGTAGAGGTATGTATGTTTTAAAAGTTATCATTTTCCTAAACTGAAAATGTATTTCCAAACATACTTACCTCCACTGACACTCTCCCTCCCTTCCTCCCCACTAAGAGCTTTTGTTAGTGACCAGAATATGGTAAGTTGCGAAAAAGTGATTTTATTGTCTGCATAGAGGATGTGTAAGGGCTGATTAAAAGTTTTGCAAATTAGATATTGCCAAGGGCAGTCGAGTGGGGTATATAAAGACCGGAGCAAGCGAACACAACGTTAGATGGTAAAGATGAAGATTGAGAAATAGCTATTAGTGTCAGAGGAGGTAAGTATGTTTGGAAATACATTTACAATTTAGGAAAATAACTTTTAATCCATCAAGTGACGTATTATATTATGTTGTTTTCTGTACAGAGAATTGTCTATTTCACTTCCAGTTCAAACTTTATTCCTGTGGGAAAGGGAAGCACCTCGATGAGCTCAGCTGAATTTTTAACAGCTATTATCATATAGCTCGAAAGCCAGGAAAATTATGACAGTTATAAAGCATTGACTGCTTTTTATTCTGTGTTCTTAGGTGCATTATGTAATTAAATAAAAAATTATTTAGTGTAGTAGTACATTAGTGTAAAAAAGTAGAGTTAAATTTCATTGACAGTTGACAGCAAAAAAGATGGCTTGGGTAAGTACTATATTTCTTGTTTTTCATGCGTATTCTTTACTTGTTATTATAAAAGCAACCGAAATGTAAAAATTAGAAACTTTTTAGGTAGATAAGGTAAAATAAAGAAAAATAATGATAATAATAGTTTTTTTCATGAGGTATGCTGTGAGCAGCTCGTGAGTAGCCCATGCATTACATGAGGTACATGTTCACCAAGTGATTTATACTTTGTGTGGTGGGATTATTAGTAAGACACAATTCGAAGGGAAATAAAACAATAACATTTAAATAGAAACAGGTGTATTTGGGATAAAGAAACGTCATTTCATGTTACAATTTGAAGTGATTCTAGAAATAAAAAAAAAGTAATTTAGATTGATTG